TGTACAACAAAGGTAAACATACAACACCTCTTCTCTCAAGTTCTCTTACCACTTGTTTTTCCCCTCCTAATACATGCTATTTGTATATATTTTTTGTAGTCTAGGCCTACACTCTTGTATAAAGGTGTATTAATCAAGAAATGGTGTGCTTCTCTTTCTTTCTTAAATTTCCAGCAGCAAATCTTTTCCCTCTCTTGAATTTATTTTCCTATCAAAAATCCATAAACTCAAAATCTGTTTTTATGGTCTAATATTTGGTATGTCTAGAGTATGTGGTAATTTGTTTAGGTCCTAAGGATGTTTTTTTATAACCTAAACAATTTTTCTAAGTTTGTTACTCACAGAACCAGAAAAACAGTGAACTTTCTCTATTTTTATAAAATTTCAGAAAAATAATCTTGAGCCCAATTTTATGTCAAAATCTTAATCTTGGTGTTATATTTTAACTAAAATTTGTTTGAACTCAAGAGAGTGAGGGGTTTGAGAGAAAAACTGATTTGCGTAACGATCAACGAATCTGGATAGATCTTGGTAATTCTGAATTATCTTAAAATATAAAATACCTATCCTACTTTCGTAAATTGAGTTTGAAACTAGAATTATTTATATACAAACTCACAAGAGGCCAGGTACTTAGGGCCAATAAAAGTATTTTTTTCATCATTATTTTCAAACTGGTTCAAATCTGGAAATCTGGAAATTTATGTTAATATGCTCTTATTTGGTTTGCAACTCTTATATTTTATGTTTCTTGAATGTTTTAGTCTTGATATGTAATCTATGATAAATTGTAAATTTTCTTTACCATGAATAAATTACTTGTTGTTTAGTTTGGATTCGTAATTATATTGACCATGCTTTGCTATAACTGAGAACATAATGCGCTTAATAAAGGGGAAATCAAATGGGATGGTAATGGGTTGCGATCATTGTATTAAATTTTATGAGATAATGAACGATGGATTCAAGAGTATGATATAGTGGAATGTATTCCATTTTTGTGAAGTCTTGTGCAAGTGTGTTTCCGAACCCTAACATGGCACGAGAGGTATTCTGGCTGCTTAACGGAAATAGGAGGCATAAGGGTGGCAGTGAGGGTCTCACACAGGGAGAGTATCCCTGGAAGCTCGTTTCCTTGGGGCAGACCGTGAAGCCACCACTTGGGTATGTAACCTAGGTGCGTGGGCATCATTGGTAATTGTGCGGTAAGCGACGCACTGGTGGTTATGCGGTAAGCAACGCATTGGTATTGTATTAACCAAGGGGGAGTCAGAATTGCCCGTGGCCAGAGTTGGTGGTTGGGTAGGAACGACATTCCACCGGGAGTTGCCTAGAACTAACTAAAATTGACTATTATTCATGAGAACTGAAATTTAATTATAATCTCTGCTTGATTATTACTTTCGATGTATGTTATGAACGTGTCGTTATGTTACTTGTGTATTTGGAATGGGAAAAGGGTCAGGGTGTGTGTGTTTACTGGTCATTCCAAGCTCATGGCGTTTTATGCCAGGTGAAGGCGAGTTTTACCCCAAGAACAGAATCCCTAAAAGCTTTGTGGAACCGTGGCTGCCTTAGAAATTAGATTGTATATTTTTTGTATTTTGGATAATCTTTTTGTATCAAGGAACCGATATGTATTTAAAGACTTGAAGAATTTTATCTGTAATTATTATTAATATTTTATTTTAGTGTAATTATTTGTATTTTGTGCTTAAAAATGATGTGTATCCTCTAGTTAAACCCCGGTGCATCGTTGTATTATATTATCAAAATTTGGGCCGTCACACACACCACCAACCTTATATCACCTATACTAATAAGAGCCGAATACCTTCCCGTGCCATGTTAGGGTTCGCAACTCACTTACGCAACACTCTAAATCGGGCTCACCCCATCACTTTTAAACTTTAATGCATCGGTTCAATTTCATGTTTCTTTACTTCGTCGAATTCACATTTTGATGCAGGTACGAGTTTTAGTTTGCAAACCACAGTGATATAAGGTTTATATAGCACAACATAATCATGTATGGAAACCAAAATAAATATTATAGAATGTCTTAGGAATCATCACAAAATTTCAATGAATTTCTCACACTTTTTCTTTTCAGCACTGTATGGTCAGACTAAAAATAATGAAACCACATCAAACAAAGTTTAATTATTACAATATTTTAGCTGGTGCTAGTTCATTGAGTTAGGAAAAGATTTCACAATGAATACCAAGGCTAAAAAAGATTTTAATATGGAGAAATAAAATTTGGAAGAAAACTGGTTTCTAGGGCAGTGACTTACACAGGTGATCTATGTTTGAAAAATAAAAAGGGCCATCTAACAGTGTCAAAAAGAGGTATGGTCAAAATGGATTGCTAGATATTTGAGTTTAGAACATATTTCTAGAAAAGTTTGAAGACTGAAAACCAATAGAAAATGGTGAAATAATTTTTCTAAGAAAATAGGACAGATTTTGTCGCATTTTTGTAAAACTACAATTTCTCTTTTTAGACTTATCTTTTTGTGAAATTGGCGACAAATGAAAGATAACTCTTATATCTAACTATCCCAAGTGGTCGTGCATAAAAATACCATTTCCAGAGAAAATGGAACTTGTTTGAAGTCACTGTTTCGGCTATGTCATGAACAACACTTAGGACAAATAGTTACTTTGGTAAGACAATGGCGTCCAATGATTTTATAAAAATTTACACATGTATAGAACACCTATATATACTCCCAGTACCAACAGATTTTTGACACAAGTTATTTTCAATTTATTAAAGCATTTTACCTTCGATAAAATCTGAGATAGGAAAGAAAATATAAGTTTCAAGTAAAAGTGAACCAATCTTATCTGCTTTTACCCCCATGCAAGATTATTTCAAATAATGAAGAATATTTGAACACATAAGAAGATAAAATCAGTAGTTAAACCATCTAATCTATGCTTGTAAGAAGGAATAGAAATCATATAATCATAAAATTATTATTCCATCAAAATGTAAACATGCATTGAGCTATTCTTGCTATGTATGTATTAACAATGCACACTCTTGCATATTTTTAATATATAGATTCAATAAAATGAAAATATCTAAGGGAGGATAGAGGTTGAGTATTACTACCTCAAGAGCTTTTACAAACTATTCTCAAGATTAGTTTTGAAATGGTGACCACCAATTACCCTCTCATCTTCCTCTCTTTTTCTTTTATTTTCTCCTCTCTTTTTCTTTTTTCCTCAACCGTGTGTATAGAAATGAAAGGGCTGAAATAATGTTCTATTTGTAGGAGTTTGGAGGCCTATTTTCAATTTATTTTATTTTATTTTTATTTTTTTCCTCTTGGCTTGGAAAATATTACCTACATGTATAGGCTTAGGATGTGGTTGTATACATGCCTTGGCATGCCTTAGCATGCTTCCTCTCAATAGCCTCCTTCCTTGGGAAGGAACGGTGGTCGAATTCCTCTACCCCAAAAAAGTTTGGTTTCATTTTTTTTTTTTTTTGAGTGTGTGTACAAAAATAAAAATCAATGTATATATATAGCCTAGTCACTAGATATTTTGCTCCTTATTATCCTCTGATTAATTTAGTTACTATTTATTTAACTCATTTAATTTCCACAATTGTATTTAGATACAGAAATTTAATCACAGAAAGATAAATAAATGTATTTAAAGGAATTTAATATTGATATTAATCATGATGCTATTAACATTATAATTTAATAATTTAATAATCACTATTAATTAACTTAATATTATTATTAACAAACTAATTAGTTGTCCAAAATTTCAGCTTCTTACATTAACATCCTTTACTCTTCTAATGCCTAAGCCTCCTTGATCACCCTTTTTGTGATATCATCCTATTTAACTAAGTGAATCTTTTTTCTCAGATCAGACCCTCCCTATAAAAATGATGCTTGAAGCTTCTCAATTTCCTTGGCTACACCTTCAAGCATTTTGAAGAGAGATAGGTAGTAAATTGGCAAAGAAGAGACTACAAATTTAATTAAAGTAAGTCTACTTGCAAAAGACAAGAATCTTCTCTTCCACCCAACCAATTTGCTCTTCACACTATCCAAAACAAGTTTTCAGGTTGCTTTCCTATTTGGGTTATTAACGGTAAACCAAGATATTTGAGAGGGAGAAATTGAACTTTGCAGTTGAGTTTGGAGGCAAAGCTAGACAAGATATCATCGGGCACACCAAAACTACACACTACACTTTTGTGGTAGTTAATCCTGAAGTTAGAGATGATTTCAAAACATCTTAGATCCTTTTGAGGTTCTCCACTTCAACCAAATTAGCATCACAAAATAATATGGAATCATTAGCAAATTGCATGTGGGTGAGCTTTACCTCATTACTTCCCACTTTCATACCTTTAATAAGCCCCAAATCCCAAGCTCTGGAGAGTAGAATGTTAAACCCTTCAACTGCCATTTAAACAAGAATGGTGATAAGGGGTCTCCTTGCATAAGGCCTCTTTGTGGACTGAACTCTTTAGTTGGAGGACCATTGACTAGGATTGACAACCTAGCTGATGAAATACATTCTTGAATCCAGACCTTCCACTTAGCACCAAACTCAAAATTTTCCGATGTAGAGAGCAAGAATTCCCAATTGATAGAGTCAAAGTCTTTCTCAAAGTCCAGTTTGATGATTACACCTTTCTTTTTAGCTTTTTTCCATCCATCAACCACCTCATTATCTATTAACACACTATCAAGGATATTTCTGCCACCTAAAAAAATGGATTGGGCTTCACCTATCACCTTTGATAGCACAACTTTAAGTCTTCCTATCAACACCTTAGCTACTATTTTGTATAGTGATCCAACTAGGCTTATAGGCCTATAATCAGACAAGCCAAGTGGGTTCTGTTTCTTTGGTACCAGTGTGATAAAGGCACTATTGATCTCAGTAACTAGACTGCTATTTCTATGAAAGCCATTCATGAACTTGACCACTTCACCTTTCATAATCTTCCAAAATTTCTAGAAGTAAGCCAGGTTAAAGCCATCTAGACCCGGTGCTTTGTTACCATCACATTCGAACACTATAGCCTTGATTTCTTCTTCTGAGAGAGCAGCTTCTAATTTATTAAAAGCTGGGCTCCTCCTCACTGATTTGAATTGGCCACCAAGCTTAGGTCTTGACTTCCATGACTCCAAAAAGTGGTTCTTGAAATGATTATACACCCTAGAGTTAACCTCACTAGGATCGTCAAGCACCACATCCCTCACCTTAACAGAATTAATATCATTTCTGTTTTGTCTACTTCTGGACATGATATGAAAGAACCTGGTATTCTTATCCCCCTTTAAAGCCCAGTTTAACCTAGACTTTTGTAACCATATCCATTTTACCATCCTACTCAATCTCCCCACTTTAAGTCTAACCTCTCTTCTTCTTGCTTTCTCCATAGCATTTATGTCCATTCCTTTAGCCAAGAGGTCAAGATCATGCAGCTCTTCCTCTGCTTGCTTTAGTTTGTGAACATTTCTAAAGACTTCTCTACTCCACTGTTTTAGAGCTAATTTCAAAGCCTACAATTTTCTTAGTATAAAACCAGCCCATCCCACAAGTGATGATTCATTCCATGACTTTCTAAAAAGGAAGGGAATAATGGATGTAGAGTCCAAGCATTTAGGAACCTAAAAGGCCTAGGGCCCTAATCTTTTCCATCCTCCATTAACAATAGAGGACAGTGATCATATATAATTCTAGGTAATCCCCATAGTTTCATATTAAATTTCTCCACCAATTGTGGATTCATCAAGAATCTATTAATTTTGCTCCATTTTTCTCCCTCCATTGCATTGCACCAAGTTAATTTCCTACCTAGTAGTGGCAGATCAATTACTTCATGCTTATCAATAAAATCATTGAGTTCTTTCATCTCTTTATCCCTTCTAGAGCAACCCCTCCTTTCACCTATATTTTTTATTTCATTAAAGTCACCACCCAAGCACCAAGGTTTTGGAAATTCCTTCTTTAACTTAATCAAACAATTCCATAACTCACCCCTACTGCTCACCTCATTCAGAGCATAAACATTTAAGATGGCACATTCAAATTAGTTAAAAAGAGTACCTAATATTAGTATGACTATGAACTTTCTATTACAGCAACATTCAGGTAATTGCAGTACCTCTGGGTCCCATATGCATAGCAGGTCTCCAGTTGAGCCTTCAGAATCCATAGCCATGTATTCCATCTTGTTCCTTGACCATAATGATCTATCTAATCTTCCTATTTATTATATGTCTATTTTTAGAATACCTGTGGGGGTTTCTAAAGAAATAGAGAAGGTTCAAGATGCTTTTTTGTGGGGAGACACAGCAGTGAGAAGAAAAGTTCACCTTGGAAAGTGGAAAGAGTTAGCAATAAACAAATCTAAAGGTGGACTGGGAATCCGTGATATCAGAACTGTAAACGCATGCTTGTTAATGAAATGGTGGTGGAGGTTTGGTTTTGAGAAGAATGCTTTGTGGAAACCTCTTATATGCAACAAATACAAGACTGAAGGAGGTAATTGGTTCCCTAACCAGGCTGTGAATGCAGCCATGTCAAATGTTTGGAATGATATCATCGGTGTTCTATCCTCTAATAATAGACTCCTAAGCTACTTCATGGGGAATATTAAAATTATAATTGGGGATGGTAATAGAATTTCATTTTGGAGAGACATTTGGTTCGGGGAAATAAGATTGCTAGAACATTTCCCTAGACTCTTCAGTCTATCATTGGACACGAATGAATCACTGAAGTGTTTTTTGTCAATAATAAACTAAGTTTGTGCAATTGGAATCTAAGGTTCATGAGACAACTTTTGGCATGGGAGGAGGAGGAAGTTGCAAGGTTACATAGCCTACTGGAATCAGGCCTAGTGTTGCTTCCAGGAGCAGAGGACTCACTGATTTGGAAACCTGATAACTCTAGGACTTATATAGTCAAATCAGTGTTCAACTGGTGTGAATCACTTTGGGGTCCAAATTTAGCCTTACCTCCCTTGATCTGGAATAATCATGCCCCTCCAAAGACACAATTCTTCACTTGGCTAGTTTGGAAGGGCAGATTAAAAACATCAGTGTGGCTTTAGAGGATTGTGTCCTACATGATAGTGTAGATTTAACCTGTGTGCTTTGTAATTCTGAACCAAAAATAATAGATCATATAATGCTTAACTGCCCTTTTGTTTGGAGGATATGGATTGAGATAATCAACTGGTGGGGGGTGCCAATGGGTAACTCGTGAATCCATTGTAAGGTTGCTTAGTTGGTGAAATGGGTGGAAATTCAAGAAATGTGAATTGCAGATTTGGAAAGTTTTGCCATGTGCAGTATTGTGGTCAATCTGGAAGCATAGGAATGACATCATTTTCAACAGTGCTCAGCCAGATTACATGGAATTGGTTGATCTTATCAAGATAAGGGTGGCAATATGGATGAAGAACCACTCTCTGGGCAAATTTTATTCTGTTCATGACTTTGTGGCTAATTTATAGCAGGTGAGAAATTCTATTGGTTCAGGGAGAAGAAGTTGAAAGCACATCTGATTTGGTTGCTGCTACTTGGTTGCTGTTGCTAGTGGATTTGGTTGCTTTTGTTCCTAGTGGTTTTCTTTCTTTTTTTTCAATCTGCTGCTTGGTGTGCTCCTGCTGCCGCTGCTTGATTTGGTTACTACTGATGCTGCTTGATTTGGTTTCTGTTACTGCTGCTTGTTTTGGCTGCTTGCTTTGTTAGTTGGTGAAGAAAAATCCAAGTCTAGATGCCTTATTTTGAAACAAAGGAGCACATTATTTTGAAACAAAGGACTTTTTAGTGTGTCTATGGCTTGAGAGTTTACCTGGTTAGGTGTGAGTTTTATCTGTTCTGTTTCTGTCAGTGCAGTGTTTTTTGTTGGTTCTGTCTATTTGAGGTATTGCTGATCTGTGAATATATAGGCTACACATTGGCACATTGAGGTATTGCTGATTTGTTGATCTGTTGTTTTGTGTTGATCTGTCCTGCAATGCACTACTGATCTGTTTTGGGATGGTCTGTATTTTTATTGCTCTATCTCTTTGTTGTGTGATCTGGGATTTGTTCCTGTGATTATCTGGTATATAAAATGGACTGAGGCATTGTTACTAGAGTTGTGTAGTGCTAATCTGCTCTTCTGGAGTGGTGGTCCTTTGGTCTGATTTTTTGCTTTTGTTAGAGCCAATTTCCTGATCTCTTCTCTTTGTTATTGATGCATTGCTGATCTATTTTTCTTTGTTATTGTTGTTCTGTTTGTTGCTTCCTGTGGGGGGTGCTTAGCATATGATAGGATGGGTTTTTTAGTGCCAACCTAGTTGCATGATCTAGCCCATTGTGATACTTGGTGCACCCTCCTCTCTTTATTGATGTTTTGATGTTTTTATGTGTACATCTTATACCTTTCATCGTAATCAATAAAGTTTCTTTTTTTCCGATAAAAAAAAAATGATCTATCCGATCTGCTCTTCAGAAATAGAAGCCTTCATTGTCTCCTGAAGCATAGCAATGTCTATATTTCTTTCCTTCATTAGCTTTCTTATTTTGCCTCTCTTTTCTTTCCTCTTAACACTCTTACATTCCAAGATAGTATCTTCATAATAACCTGATTGACACCCTTATACCCCTAGCAACTTCCTTTACAAAGCTGCCCCAAGTTCCCCATCAATCATCTTCTTATCTTTCAACTCAAGATACACTATTTTGTTGACAGCTTCAGCTTCTTTCCCATTGAGTTGTAGGTCCAAAATTTTTCCAATCTGCAGTGTAGCTTGTGCTTCGTTGAGAATGAGTCTGCCTTTGTTAGGTCCACTACTAGTTGAAGTAGATAATGAAAGTGCTGCCACTGCTACTCGATATATTGCATTTCTTGGACCTGGCTTGCTTGTTGATGGCCGTTTATGCCCATGTCTTCTTGCCAGGTTAGTGTAGCTTTTGTCCAGAATTTGGTGCTTTCCCTTTTCTTTTTTGCTTACTTTTCTCTTTCCTTTCTTTGTATATTGTCCCTCTTCTCCTTTCCTTTCATTTTATTGTTATGATTTTGGTCCTGGATTGCCAAAAAATCATATCGTTTGTTTCCTCCACATTCAATCTCATCCTCATCTTTATTTTGGTGCACCTGCGCTTCAAGTTGTGCTTTTTTTTTTTTCTGATTAGAAAAAAAAAAAAAAGCTCTGAGGTGTCATCACGGCATCTATGGGCCAATTCTGATGCAGACTTTGCCTCAATTCTATCACTTCTATTTACAGCTTGTGACACAACCTGTGGGGACATAATTTTTGAGTGATAGCATGTGGCCGAGATGGCACCGAAGTGTCAGCCAAGGTGCCACGTGTCCTGGACATGATGTCGAGGTAATCTCAGCTAAGACGAGGTCATCTGCGAGAATACCGGAATCCGGGATAAGCGGATAAGGGACAAAAGTCCTAGAATTGGAGAGGACTTCAGTTTGGATAAAGATAAGACTCTTAGAGAGTTTATCTCAATCCTACTGGGAGTCCAAGATTAGCAATAATCCAAAGTCCATTGAAGCTAGGCTTCTATTGGGACTAGGTTTGTGTTGGCTATAAAATGGAGGCACCTTCATGGGTCTAAGGTATGCTTTTTTTGTTCTATCTAGTGAGTTAAGCACTATTGGTTATCTTTGAGAGATATTTGATTACTGACTTGAGCATCGGTGTGCCCCCAGGTGGACGAACCACCGCGGGATTCTTATCTTTCTGTGACAGGTTGTTTGGGCTTAATCTATTCTGCTGATGCTCTCCAGTTGAGTTCCCCCTTTTGGTTGTGTGATCGAAAATCAACACCCACAATTTGGCGCCGTCTGTGGGAACTTAAGGAGAATAGATGGCCAACAACGAGCAGGGAGAAAAGATTGAGGACGACATCCCGGATCCGAGATCTTGGAAAACAAGATCTCGGCCTAGATGATTAGGTCCGAGAAGACAAGAGCTCAGCCCAAGCGAGCAGATCCCGGATCCCAGATCCTAGAAGACAGGATCTCGGCCTAGATGAGTAGGTCTGAGAAGACAAGAGCTCAGTCTAAGTGAGTAGATCCTGAATTCCAAATCCCGGATCCCAGATCCTAGAAGACAAGATCTCGGCCTAAATGATTAGGTCCGAGAAGACAAGAGCTCAGCCCAAGCGAGCAGATCCTGGATTCCAGATCCTGGATCCAAGATCCCAGAAGACAAGATCTCGGCCTAGATGAGTAGGTCCGAGAAGACAAGAGCTCAGCCTAAGTGAGCAGATCCAAGATTCCAAAAGACAAGATCTTGACCTAAATGATTAGGTCTGAGAAGAGAATAGCTCAATCTAAGTGAGCAAATCCCAGATCCCAAAAAACAAAGAGGAAGCACACAAGATCAGATTGAAGTCGACCAGGTTCTACCTGTTGGCAGAAGGCCATCTATATAGAAGGACTTTTACTAGGCTTGTATTGCGATGTGTACATCATTTCCAAGTTGAAGACTTTTTATACGAGATCCACGAAGGAGTGTGTGGAAGCCATGTAGGGGGTAGATCCCTTGCCCACAGAGCTATATCACAGGGATTCTGGTGGCCCTACATGCAAAATGATGTCGAAGTCTATGTAAAGAAGTGTGAAAATGTTATTGGAATCCATGATTGTGCGATAAGACTGAATAGTCTTATAACGATGTTCCTATGGTGAACATGACGAATAACTTAGACTTATTATATGGCAGAGTTGAATTATACTTGCATATAATAGAATCGAACTAAGTTGGCGATGTTTCTGATTGAAACATGGCGAATAACTTGAACTTATTATATGGCCGTGTTTCTACTTGCATATAATAGAGTTGAACTAAGTTGGCGATGTTTTTGATTGAAACATGATGAATAACTTAGACTTATTATATGGCAAAGTTGAATTCTACTTGCGTAGAGTTGAACTAAGTTGGCGATGTTTCTGATTGAAACATGACGAATAACTTAGACTTATTATATGGCAGAGTTTCTACTTGCATATAATATAGTTGAACTAAGTTGGCGATTTTTCTGATTGAAACATGACCAATAACTTAGACTTATTATATGGCAGAGTTTCTACTTGCATATAATAGAGTTGAACTAAGTTGGCGATATTTCTAATTGAAACATGACGAATAACTTAGACTTATTATATGGCAGAGTTTCTACTTGCATATAATAGAGTTGAACTAAG